CATTTTATTCATTATAAATACGAGACGAATTCCACTTTCCAAAGGTGTTCAATCTTCACATATCATTTACATGCAAATAAGGATGAAGTACTTTACATCTGTCATTCTTTTATTAATAGCCGCTTCGATTGGTGTGACTGTTGATGCTATTGCTATTAACGCTTCTACTAATGCGAATGTTGGTGGGGAAAATATTTTGATCGAATCGTTTTAATCATGTTTGGTGGAGGAATTTCGTATGATCAAGCGATACGCCATGATTATTTGCGAAAATTAGTTTTCAACCGATCAGATGGCCTTCTTCTTTTCAGCTACCATGCAATCACACATCCGGCTCAGGTACATTTTATTCTTATAAATATATACTATATATATATATATATATTTTTAATCTTAAAATTACAAATAATTTTCTTTACTTTTAGCCAAATTACATTGCCACAATTTGTGGTGACACACGTGACATAACATATGGTGTTCGCAATATTGGTGGACCCAGTATAGTCGACCTTCTTGAAAAAAATAAATCACTTGGAAAGCTTATATGGAAGACTATCGTATGTATTATCATATCTGTTATATTTGTAACTAAGGATTGGAAACTGTAATCGCTTAAAAATTATTTCATAGTTTAGACTAGAATTAGTTTAACACTGTCTGAATTTAGCGGTTAACATGGCTAAATTGTTAAACGTTAAGCGGTTAGAACCAAATTTTAGGCAGTTCCAACCCTTATTTATAATATGATATTGATTTATTATAGGATATTAATTTGGTTTCGGATTTTTTATTCATTTTACCCTATCATTTTATAGCTGGCGATTGTTACACCGAAGATGAATATATACCTCCGGGCAAAACTTCTTCGATATACGATAGGAAATATAATCCTTTCATTTCAATGTCTGACATAAACACTGATCCGGTTCTTTGTCCGAAAATAGTTCCTGGCAGTCAACTTGATACAGACATAATGGGAATAAAGTACCACAATTTGTCTATTATGTACCAAATTTATTAAATAGTGGACGTACCACTGGTCTAAACTATGCAATGACTTGGTTTGAAGATTGGTTTGAAAACAAGCTTAATAAAACAGCCTTTACAAAAAATACATTATTTTTAATCACTTTTGATGAAGATGATCGTTCTGGTGACAATCACGTTTTCGCTGGTCTTTACGGTTCTCCTGTTAAACCACCTACCTCTCATGAAGACATTCCTACTTACAATCATTACTCTTTCATGGCTACCGTAGAGGAAAATTGGAGTTTGGGAGATTTGGGCAGAAACGATACCACTACGAGTCCGTTTACTGATTATCTGCATGATAAACAAATTTTAAATGTTGAAAATAAACCAGATGTAAATGTTGGAAATAATAGTGTAAAGGTTGAAAATAAACCTGATGTAAATGTTGGAAATAATAGTTTAAATGTTACAGAAAATGAAGATGCAACTTATGGATAATTAGGATAAACTAAATAAATGACGATTGACAACTGTTCGTAATTATCATAAATATGCATATAATTATATTTTATTATTACCTCTGAATCATTTAAAAATTTTAAATTCGATTATTAGATCAATGTAAAATAGATTAATTATATTACATTTCTGCCTATATATAATTTTTTTTGTCTATTAATTTTTAACTTTATTGTTGATTTACTCTAAAGTTTTTAATAAATTCATCAAATCGGCCTTTATTATATATACTAGCTCTCAGGCCCGTGCGATGCTCCGGGGCAACGTTTTAAATTTTTTATATTATTTAGGTTTAAATAATTCCAACTTGGGTTTATTGAATCCAGGTTGGGCTCAAGTAAACCCATGTTGGGTTTACTTGAACCCGGATTGGGTTCAAGTGAATCCATTTGGGTTCACTTGAACCCGGATTGGGTTTACTTGAACCCGGATTGGGTTCAAGTGAATCCATTTGGGTTCACTTGAACCCGGATTGGGTTTACTTGAACCCAGGTTGGGTTCAAACGAACCCAACCTGGGGTCAAATAAACCTGATTTGGGTTCAAATGGACCCAGATTAGGTTTAAATAAACCTGACTTGTGTTCAAACAACCTAGATTTGGTTCAAATAAACCTGAATAACCTGATTTTGGTTTAAATAAACTTGGATTGGGCTCAAATAAACCCAGATTGGGTTCAAATGAACCTGAATTAGGTTCAAATGAATCTGACTTGGGTTTAAATAAACCTGATTTGGGTTTAAATAAACCCATATTGGGTTCAAATAAACTTGAGTTGGGTTTAAATTTAATTGAATTATGTTAAATAAACATAAATTGGGTTCAAATAAATCCAAATTGGTTTTATTTAAATCTATATTAGGTTTAAATAAATCTAGTTTATTTTATTTATTTTTTTCTTAGTTTTTTATTGTTTTCTTTTTTTTATATTTTTATTTTATTTTTATTTATTTTTTTATTTTATTTTTTTATTTATTTTTTTATTTTTTATTTTTTATGCTTGTATTTTATTTTATTTTTTATTTGTTTTTTATTTATTTAGTTTATCTTATTTTTTTTACTTGCTTTTATTTTTTTGTTTTTTATTTATTTTTATTTTTATTGAATTATATATATATATATATATAATATATATATTATGTTTTGTAAATATTATACAAATCATATAATTAAAGTTTGTATAACTTGTTATATTTTTGTATATATATATTATTTTTTAAAATTTTTAAATTTTTTATTAAAGCAAAATTAAGATTTATAGTTATACAAATAGCAGAATATTTATAGTATTAATAGTGGATAAGTAGATTAATATTAATTTTTGACAATTATTAAGAGTAGATTAATAACAAATTTTAATGATTATTAAAATAAATAAGTAAATTAATAACAATTTTAGCAATTATTAAGAGTAGATAAGTGAAATATTTATAATTTTAATAATTATTAAAGATAAATATATAGGTTAATAATAATTTTTAATAATTATTAAAAGTAAATAAGTAGATTAACTATTTTTTATAATTATTAAATAGTAAATAAATAAATTAATATTTTGAATAATCTATTTGTTGCTAGTGATATTCGTATTATGGCAATTAACTAATTACATCACAAAATTAGATATAATATTGTATAATCTGAAAATGAAAAAATATTAAGATTTTTTAAAATTTACTATAACTCAAAATTTTGCCTATTAAACCAACTTTATATTTTAATAAAAAATTTTTTCAAAATTTTACTATATTACCTACTTTATTTTAACCCTAATAACAATTAACTTTAGTATTTGGTTTGATTTTGTAATATAATTTGATTGATCAATTGCAATTCAGTAACTATTACTACTAGAAACAACTAGATTATTCCTAATATTTTTTACTATTATTTAATTTAAAATATATTTAAAATTTCTATTCAAATTTGAATATAATATAAAAAAATATAATCAACAATTTTCTCTTATTAGAGTATTAATAATTAAATTAATAATTTTATAGCTTATTATTATAAAATTACTATAATATTTAAGTTATTTACTAAAACTATTTACTATATTGTATTTTAAAGTAGATTAAAAAAGCGTGAACCTCTTTTATTATATTTTTATATAATCACATTATATGTAATAGTTATCTCATAGGGTTAGTGTTTGTACTACTTACAAATATAGATTCGTACTACCTGCAGAATACTTTAGAATAACTTATATATTATAAATATGATTATATAAAAATATGATATAAGGGGTTTATACTTCCTCAAGTGTCCCATATTTTATTATTAGAAATTATTATTATAAGAAGTTAAATATATATTGTATTATGATAAAAAAGAGTTAGGATTTATCAACACTAATATGACACCAACTAGCAATAGCTAGCTGGAAGTGATTCAGCTTGCTACTTAAGTAATTTCGTGGCACTAGGCTGGTCTTTAACAAGATAGATCATTAAAGCAAAATTACGAAAATAGCCAATAGCTGGGAGTATGTAGCCTTGTAGTTGCTGTACAACTCAAGAGGTCTTCATGAACTATGGTTCTGATAAATACTATATAAGGAAGTACTTAGGGGTAGCAAAAAGTACACTGCATCAGATAACTTAGGAAATGCTAAGATCTGGAAATAGCAAACCAAGTGGTGGCAGCAGGGACCTGGCTTGAGATATGAGACTAGTATATCTGGAGATACAAGTGGGAGGTTTGGGGCATTCATGTAATATAAGTTGCATGAAGAAATGCAAGTTAGCAGAAAACTGAGTGGTGCAAACCTATGATAAGTCCTCTTTCTAATATGTGATATCAATGCTTTTCATGTGTGACTAGCGGTGGCAGCAGGTATCTGGCTTGAAAAACGTGGATGAGAAGCCACCTATTAGAAGGAGTATACCAGTCTAAGAAATACTTCCAATAGCAAGCACAACAAATTGGGAGGCTATTAAGGACCAATTACCTGAATGAACCAATTTGAAAGTTACTAAGGTTTGATAGTGAGATATGGAGTAAATGCAGTGGGTAACTAGATATAGTCTGAACACCAAATCCAGATATAAACTAATATATAGTGGGAACATAGCATATTCTAGTAGGTTTAGGTTATAGATAAAATTGTCTAAGTTTGTATTCTTAAGATTATATATAGCCATATAAAGCAAAAATTTGATACATCTAATAAAGATATGAGGCAAGACCTCACATTAACACTAAAAAAAATATATATATATATTGTATTATTACAAAATTTTTAAAAACTTTTTTTATAGAATAAAGTCTGGTCTTAGTTTTAATAAATAATTATACTTTATATCTATAGAAATTTTTAATTTTCACTAGGGGAAAAACTCCAGTTACATAATCTGCATATTCACCAATCATATTGCAAGATGATTTTATACAGAATTTATTATTTTTTTTATTATAAAATATTTAATTTATTAATTTATTATTATTTATTATTTATTTATATAATAAATATCAAAACCTATATCTAACTATAAACCTGCCATACCCTAATATTACAACTAACTCTAACCATTATTTCTACTCTATTCTCTAGCTCATTTACTTAAACTATTATTTTGTTACAAAA